TAAAGATTCTGAAAAGTACCAGAAGCTGCAGGGAGAGATAGAGGGATATAGTGAAAGATTAAAAGAGGCTCGTAAAAATAGCAAAAAAGTCCTTGATGATATACACAAAAAGCAGGAAGAAATTACTGAAATAGAAAATAAAATAACAAAAGAACGATGCGAAGCAGAATTGGAAGCCTATCAAAAGTTCCACAAAGAAAAATTGGCTGAAATAGAATTACTTGAAACATACATTGATGAAAGATGCAGAGCTGCTGAAAAATATCACTCAGATCTCACTGTGATGACAATAGAGGAAGCAATGGAAAGGCTGCCAGAATGAGTTGCAAAAATACTTGTGACTTTATTAAACTGCTGCTATCATTTGAATATTTTAGTTATCAACCCCTTATGCTTTAATTACATTAATTATGTTTAATCTTTTAATTCCACTTACAATAGGATAACTGCTGCAAGTATAAATGTGAGGTTGTGAGCACATTTTAAAAGATTTTTTGAATTACAAGTTGTACAGCACAACCCTGCACAAACACAAAAACTAGAGAGTGAGAGAGAAGAAAGCTGGCAATATGCATAATAATAATTATTGCATTGTTTAATTTGCATATCTATGTGAGCATGCAATGCACAAATTGACATTATTTCCATATAACATTATTCCTCATAGCTCTTCTAAATCTGAAGCATGGGCACCAATTAAGGTAATATATGAAAATGGACCTCACTGCACCCCTTGTTGCAGCCCCACCATTCAATATTGACTGTTAAAATATTAGGTGTATCTAATGTTGTGTAGAAAGTTTAAATTGATTTCATTAAAAATTGAATTTTTATGAATTTTAAAGGGACTTTACAGTACCAACCACATGCGGCAGCTAGTATGGTGTTGTTGGGGAGACAAGGAGAAGGTTGATAAGGAGCAGCCCAGAGATGTAGACAACAATAGGAGAGAGAGTGGGGCGAGTGACTCTACACAAGTGAGAATTACATGTAGCATGTTTGTAAGCATTTATACAGTTACACTTCTGATACAGAGCTCCATAAATTTCAGTACATGTCTATCAGGGACATCTCAGATCACTATTATCAACCTGTTAGTGTATACTTAAAAATACACTATATGAGAAAGTATTGAACTTTTCTTTAATGGACACATAGTTCTATCAGACAGCATTCTTAATTTCTGATACAGGACAACCCTCAAACTTAGCTTACAAAAAAAGAAAATCAAATTTAATAGCTTGAACAATACAATAGCTTTGTACACAACATCAAAACATGTAGAAAAAATTTTAAAAATTTAGAATTCTCCCCTTTTCATTTTTTAGCAAAATTTGGCCCATGACCTGGTACTATAATAATAGTACAGGGACTTCGATTTGATTTTGGAGCAACTTCAAAAATTTGTAAAAATCCAATTTTGATCAGATTCACCTCAAACATTCTATGCAACATAAGCACATGTACATGTATGTGTATCATTAAAAAATTATTAAAATGTAGAATTCTTACCTTTTTATTTTTGGCAAAAATTGGTCCTTGACCCTGTACAGGGACTTTGGCCCAATTTTTGAGCAACATAAAAAATTTGATGGGATGGCTACTGAAGCCGATAGAGATGGAAATGGTTGAATAACATTAAAAGAATTCATTGCAGTTATGCAAAAAAGGATTATTTAATCAGCAATTAATTACATACATGTACATAAGCCAAAACTGTTCAAATTATTGGTACTCTCTAATAAAATTTAAAAAAACAACAAAAATAAGCACACGATACTAAAAAATACTAATGTACAGTGTAACTAAAACAATGAGGGACTATGCTCCTTCACCATGCCCTGATGTCAGTCGGGCATGGATGGCATCATTGTCACAGTGACTTCATTAGAAAAAGTAAGTGTAATGTTAATGCTGATGAAATCAAAAATATTTATAGAAGTTAGTCCATCATCTTGTATTTTTGACGGTTCCGTTACTGCCTGCATGTGTGGGAATATCATCATTTACTTTTCTATACGACTTTATCTGTACAGGCTGTGCATCATCACTATCATATTTGACTAGAATTTTAGGCTGGGAAAATGCAGCGACTTTATCAAACTTTCCATGATGAAATGCAAGGTAGAGTCTTGGTTGAAGTATGGTGGCTGACATGTGATGGCCACCAATCTCAGTATAAAAGTGAACAGGGACAGGATCACTTGTTCTATAAAGCGTAATTGGTAGAAGAGGATATCTATCACAATCCATGACAGCAATGTAAGATAATGTTCGAGCATTCATTTCTTTCAATTCTTTGTTTTGTTTCATCATTTCTTCTCTTACTTTCTCGTTTTCCTGTCTTATTTTTTCATTTTCTTCTTTTATTTGTTCATTTTCTTCTTTCATTTGTTCATTTTCTTTCTTTAATTGTCCACAAGCTACAGCTAACAGCATCATGTGTTTAGTATCAGCAGTGTGTACATGTACATCTTTACGTAATGGCTTGTCGTCACAACCAGCCCAACTAAACACACAATCTACTGGCTCTAATGGACACTGTGTTAAATGATGAAGAATACGTTCTCGAGGCATAGCAGAATGTGCACAATGGTTTGGACATGTAGTAGGATACTTTGAGCAAAATTCCATATGCAAGAAGGTAATAAAGAAATATGTGCCTCTTACATAGCAGTGCTCACATATGTCTGGTCGTTGGTCACATCCCTCCTTCTCGTGAATGTTAAGATGTAAACGCTGATCTCTTATTTGACAATCGTCATATCGACATTTGACCTCTTCAAATTGACATTCTCCTTCTCTTATCTCTTTACTAAGGTGAGTAGATATATTCTTCAAATCTCCTTTCCATTGACATCCTTCCATCATATTAGTACAATAGACTTGTAATCCATTAATGATTCGACCAATATTTTTATCTTCAAAGGATTGATACCTCTCCTCTTTACACATACATGTAGGACAGGATCCATTACTAGCTTTTATTCGCTCAATACAAGACTTGCAGAAATTTCTACCACAGCAGCTCACCTGATGAGGATCTTTCAAGATATGAAGACAAACTGGACACTCTATTTCAATTTGATCGGGTACTTCTTTAACGAACGAAAGCTCATCTTTTGAGAACCATGCCATCATAGACACTACAGAGGGTGAACATAGCATGTGAATATTACAACAACATAATTATTATGAATAAATAGTCACTTTGATAAGAGTAATATTATAATAGCAAACTAGCAACACTGAGATTACATGTGATACACGCTATAAAATGAAACATACTGCACAAATGTAATCAGTACGTTAGCTATTCATGTATTACTAAAAAGAATGTAAAACATTGAAGGGGCTCCACCTCCTGGTCACACCTCCCAGTCACGCCCCTAAATGTACGCATACATACATACATACATAAATTCTCATAAGTAAAGGCTTCACCCAAACAGTTGCTGTACTGGTGCTTATAACCCGCCTTTCTCCTAACCTCCACCTCTCTTTTTACTTGGTCCTTCAGTCCGTTGCTTAAACAAAGGCATTTCAGGTGGTAGGCATGTCTCATTAAGTTTGCCCCCTCTGTCAGGAACGGAACCAATCAAAACCTTGTTAATATCAGAGGCTGTGTTCTGTCTAACAGAGCCACTACTGGTCTTCTCAATACTCAATAACTCTACAAGTACAGAATAGCAAATTAGCAATATAAATGTACATAAATGTTTACACATCTTAATATTATACCGTTTTTAGCAGCTAATACTCTTGCTATTATTATTGGGGCCTTTTCTTTCAATGGAGTCCATTTTGACTGACACACCCTAGTAAATGACTCATCCTTACCCTACAATAATAAGAATAACTCTTAACACATTATCATTGTCTACTACATTAAACTGTGTTCCCTATAGGCTCATTTTACTGCTTTATACTTTATAAGTCATATACTGTATTCCCTGAGGTAACTCACTTTAGTCCTATCAGACCATTTAAATGATTGGACAGTTACGCTGCACCTCATCAATAACATCTGTCTCCTAACAGAATACTCTTTCAACAAAGCCTCATTGATACAGTCCAGTGTCCCCCATTGTTTAGCACTCATTTGTTGTAATACCAGTGGTTTACCAATGTACCCAACTGGGGCCTTTGAAATGCGTTCTTGAGTCTATCATGTGACAGTCATGTGACAATGTAGGTGAAGGAAATTTTTTTACTTTTTAAATTATTTTATCAAGTATCATGGTGGGTGTGACGTGAGGCGGTGGAATATCAACGCCAAAAACATTCAAAATGGCCGACAGATTAGATTGAACATCATAAGGATTAGACTAGGAAATTAAAATTAAAATGGCTGATAGCTCCCAGCCTTTCTTACTTCAAAATTATTTCTTTTATATTCGGTAGATTCTTCTATTTTTACTCTTAACAGCCGAGCAGTCATCAGCTCAGATAATAAATAATCTATTAATAAAGTACATGCCTACTTAATTAATTAAAAGCTGACCAATCAGAATGAGTCTGTTCTGAGGCTCGTTAAAAGCAGCTCGATCAGTTACTAGGGTCTCATGGTAGTAATTCAATTCATTAAGGAATGACCTTAACTCAAGATGGAATGACTCAGAATCATCAGGACCTAATTAATAATAATAATAATAACAATAATGATAATAATAGTACAATATCAATAAACAACAACAAATTATCATTATTCATGTACCTGATGGTTCAGTGACAGTCTCATTTAGTTTAAGTAGTTCCTTCAGTTCCGATGTTAAACACATCACCAGCTGTAAAAAATTCCTGTCCTTTAACCCACTGGCAATGGCTACCTCTAGACCAGTTTGAGTTCCCTCCTTCCCTTCCACCTCCTTCAGCAATGGACCCTTGCAGCTAATAAAAAAATCATTTATAGCGTATTGCTGCTGCCTCTCTCACTGTATTTCATCTAAACTGTACAGGATTTTATCAAGCAAATCATTGTCCATACTCAACATATGGCTGACAGGAAGCTCCACCTACCCCATTGATTACATATTTATAGCAACAATGATAGCATGATCATGGAATGTTCCTTTGTTTTGTAGATAGGACTAATAGTGGCGAGTGAGGACAAGAGGTTGCAGTGGTTTAATGTACACAATGAACTATATGCTATTTAGAAGAAGAAGATGGATGAAGAAGCTGTTCAAGATGGTAAATTATTATTTTAATTAGAGCAGGGCAATTGCAGTGAAGTGCTCATTCAAAATTTGAACATCACCAAAAACAGCTTCATGCTTTACTGATCTTTATAATGTATGCAACATTACAAGACTATTGAGGGTTGGACTATAATGATATTCATTACTTGTTACTGAGGCTTGTAACACGTAGTTGGATTGGAATCCACTCAAAATTATTATCATACGTAGCATATATAAGCAGTATATTAATTATTAGTTTAGCTATAACTTGAAAAATATTAATCAGAATCAGCTCAAACTTTCTACACAGCATAAGTACATCAATAATGTATCAGAAAATGTAGTAAAAATTTGGGGTGATTTTGGAGCCATTTTTTTCAAAAATCCATGGGCTATATTATAGCCTTGGGTGTTTTTCAAAAATTGGCTCGTTTTTAAAAATGGTCATGCCTAAAAAATTTTTTATCAGAATCAGCTTAAGCTGCAGTAATTGGTAACAGGGTTTGCTTTAATTTCAGTAACTGAATCTCCAACACGTCTACCAAGACATGTATACATATATGCATCAGAAAAAATTATAAAAATAAAGAATTCTCACCTTTTCATTTTTGATGAAAATTGGTCTGCAACTCTGTACTTTAGTACCAGGACTTTGGCCCAATTTTTGAGTAGCTCTAAAACATTGTAAAAAAATCCAAATTTGATACATAAAATTATTAAGTAAAAACATTTACATGTATTAGAAAAAATTATAAATTGGATATTTCTCACCTTTTAAAAATTCATATAAAATCTACTTTTGATCAGAATTAGCTAAAACGTTGTATACAACATAAATCCACTCCTTTACTCTTACCACATCAGATAAACTTTGTCTCCTCCTCCCTCTTCTATTGTATCCCAACCATTGTCCCAACTTAATCCTCTTTACTATAGATTCTCATGTCCTTTTCTAGTTAAATGGTACATTCCTCTGGCCACTTGTTCAGATATAAATACAAGATCATGTGTTGATATATATGTACACTGACCAGACTGG